AGGCACCTGCCTGGGAGGGCAATGGAAGGACGGAGTGAGGGGTCTCTCAAGGGCCAAACTAGAGGCTGGGCAGGGAGAAGAGACATTAGCTGAGAACTGTCATGGGGAGAGGAGTTCCTGGTGGCACAAATGGTTAAGCCCTCAGCTGCTAACTAAAAGGTTGGAGGTTCGAGTCCATGTAGAGGTGCCTCAGAAGGAAAGCCTGTTGATCTACTTCTGAAAAATCACCTATTGAAAACCCTATGGAATGGGAGAAACATGTGGAACAGAACCTCAAATACCTAAAAAATAATAATAATAGATAAAATAGACCTACTGGACTGGTTGAGACTAGAGGACTCCCTGAGACGATTGCCCTGAGGTACTTTTCAAACCTTGAACTGAAACTAACCCCTGAGGTTACCTTGTAGCAGGGCTTCAAACCGGTTCATTCCAGTTCAACCCCCTGCCAAGAATTTGCCTTTCCACCCCAGATATACTGAATCAGAATCTACTTTTTTTTTTTAATATTTTATTGTACTTCAAGTGAAGGCTTACAGAACAAATAGTTTCTCATGAAACAGTAGTACACATCTTGTTTTATGACATTGGTTAACAACCCCACAACATATTAACCCTCTAACTTCTCAACCTTTTTTTTTGGTGAAAATACACATAGCCAAAGATACACCGTTTCAAAAATTTCTACATGCACAGTTCAGTGACATTGACTACGCTCTTCCAATTGTGCTGTTATTCTCACTTAAGATGAAGGCTTACAGAACAAAATAGTTTCTCATTTAACAGTTACTACAAATGTTGCCCTATGACAATGGTTAACAATCTCACAACACATCAACAATATCCTTACTCATCCTTGGGTTCCCTATCACCAGCTTCCTTGTCCCCTTCTGCCTTCTGGCCCTTGTCACTGGACTCCTGTACCTCGTTAGTCTCATTTGGTTTTACAGGGCTGTCCACTCCCAGGCTGATCAGAATCTACATTTTAACAAGATCCCCAGGTGATTCTTATGTATAATAATTTTTGAGCACCTCCACCAGTGCCTTGTAGCTAAATAACAAATTGGCTCAAAAAATAATTAATATCACCTGTGAGTACTGTGCTCCTTTACAAAATTACCTCTATGAGACAAAACCATTGACAATTACTTTAAAACGAAGATAAGAATATAAGGGGGCAGGGAAACTAGATTAATGGAAATAGAACAACCAGAACAGAAATAATTAGAATGTTCATGCATTGTGAAGAATGTAACCAATGTCACTGAACAACTTGTGTAGAAATTCTTGAATGGGAACCTAAATTGCAGAGTAAACCTTCACTGAAAACACAATATTATTTTTTAAAAAAAGAAAGAAAGAAAGGAAAATGCTATGGAGAACATTTCTACTCTGACACACATGGGGTCACCATGAGTCAGAATAGATTTGACGGCATCTGGTTTACTAGTCGTGGGGTGGTCAGTTCAAGAGGCAGCAGGCAATGGAAAGCGCTTGGGCTCAAGAGTCAGACAGAGCTGGCCTTGACGCCTACCTCTGGCTGTGTGACCTTAGGCAAGCCACATACCCTCTCTGAGTATCTGTTTCCTTCTCTGGAACACGGAGAGAATGAACCAAGCTGGGACTCCACTGAGCATGTATTGAGCTGTTTACTGTGCTAAGACTTTCATGGGTAATCTCACCAATTCTTGCAAAAAAGACTATGAAATAGGAAATGAGGTTAGAAAGGTTAAGTAACTTGCCCAAAGCCCCACAGCAATTGGCAGGGGTAGATTCAACACTGGGCAGGCAGCTCTGGAAGTTCTGCACTTTTTACCACTAACTCACGGCAGAGGAAGTAGTGGGAACTGCTAGCAATGAGAGATGATTTTTGTTTAAAGTTGCAGATTGAGAGTCATGCATGAGTTGAGGTCAGATTTTTAAAAAAATAAAATAAATTAGAACTGAAAGTATCAGAGTGCCTAGCATGATGCAAGAGTATGCCTTTGTTTCATAAACTTTTTGTTCGTGTGTGTGTGTGTGTGTGTGTGTGTGTGTGTGTGTGTGAAGCCTCCCTGGTGGCACAAACGGTTTACACTCGACTACTAACATAAAGGTTAGCGGTTCAGACCCACCCAGCAGCTCCACAAAGAAAGGCTAGCGATCTGCTTCCGTGAAGATTACAGCCATTGAAAACCCTGTGGAGTAGTTCTACTCTGTATACATGGGGTCGTGATCTTAGTTATTCAGTGCTGCTATAACAGAAATACCACAAGTGGATGGCTTTAACAAACAGAAATTTATTTTCTCACAGTTTAGGAGGCTGGAAGTCCGAATTCAGGGCGATGGCTCACAGGGAAGGCTTTCTCTCTCTGTTGGCTCTGGGGGATGGTCCTTGTCTCTTCAGCTTCTGTTTCCTGGTTCCTTGGAGATCTCCATGTGGCTTGGCGTCTATGTTCCTCCATCTCTGCTTGCTTAATCTGCTCCTTTTATATTTTGTAAGAGATTGACTCCTACGTTAATCCTGTCTCATTAACATAACAAAGACAACCCATTCCCAGATGGGATTATAATCACAAGCAAAGAGAGAGGTTAGGATTTACAACACATATATTTTTTGGGGACACATTTCAATCCACACAGTCGCCATGAGTAGGAATTGGCACGATGGCAACAGATTTGGGTTTTTATTTTTTTGGATGTGTGAGTGGGGATTGTGTGCTGAGTTACAATAAAAATACATTTATCTGGGTTGAGCTCAGAGAAGTTTGAGGAACACTGCAGAGTTGGGGGAGGGAGGAGGGCATCATCTCGGAGCTCAGGGCCTCTTCCCAACTGTGCGACATCACACAAATCCCCCGCCTTGCGCCCAACCTCATTATTCTCACCTGCAAAATAAAAAGCTAGTTGCCGTCCAGTTGATTATAACTCCTGGTGACCCCATGTATGCAGAGTGGAACTGTTCTCCATAGGGTTTTCATGGTTGTGACCTTTTGGAAGCAGATCGCCAGGACTTTCTTCTGAGGTGCCCCCGGGTGGGTTTGAACCACCAACCTTTTGGTTAGTAATGGAGCACTTAACTGTTTGAGCCACCCAGGGACTCCTATCTGTAAAATGTTGTTGTTAGGCAACTCCATGTGTTACAGAGTACAACTGCTCCGTAGGGTTGTCTGGGCTGTAATCTTTACAGAAGAGCCCTGGTGGTGCAATGGTTAAACACTCAGTTGCTAACCGAAAGGTTAGCGGTTTGAACCCACAGGTGGCTCTGCAGGAGAAAAAACTTGGAGATCTGCTCCCATAAAGATTACAGCTAAGAAAACCCAGTGAGGCAGTTCTACTCTGTCACATGGGGTCTCTATGAGTCAGAAACAACTCAGTGGCAGACAACAACCTTTACGGAAGCAGATCACCAGGACTTTCTTTCAAAGCACCTCTGGGTGGGTTTGAACCACCAGCCTTTAGGTTAGTAAACCATTGCCGTCGAGTCGAATTCTGACTCATAGCGACCTTACATAGGGACTCTATAAGACGGAGTAGAATTGCCCCATAGGGTTTCCAAGACTGTAAATCTTTATGGAAGCAGACTGCCACATCTTTTTCCTGCAGAGCGGCTGGTAGGTTCAAACCACTGACCTTTCGGTTAGCAGCCGAGCGCTTAACCACTGTGCCACCAGGGCTCTTAGGTTAGTAGCGAGCGTAAACTGTTTGCACCACCCAGGGAGGCCCTGCAAGACAGGTAGTGTTGTTTTATCCATTTTACAGACAGGAAAACAGACCTAGAGAGATTAAGTAATTTATCTAAGGTCATATAGCTGTCAAAGGGTGGAGCTGGCAAAAAGGTTTTTTCATCATCATAACAGGGACTGTTAAAACAAAAGCATCATGGTCATAAAAATCCCTCCCAGAAGTTCCATCAAAAGTGGCCAAGTTCCAGGATCTGGGAAGAGGGTTGTGGGCATTTCTATTTATTCTTCTAACCTGCTGCACCCCACATCTTTATACATAAACGGCCACGGTCTCAGTCCCAGGTTGCATTGTATTCATTTTTTTCTGCTGATTTTAAAAGAAATAAAACATTTTCACAGGCCTCTTAAAGTATCATGGGCCCTAGGCTCTGTGCTTACTGTGCACAATGGACAGGTCAGCCCCGCCTTCAGGAGTGGGAGGGGCCTAGGAATCTCCATCTTTGAGAGGTTGGAGCTTTCTATCAGTCAAGTTTCGGAATCATTCCCAGGAGTTTGTGAAGCACATTCCTGGTTGCCTGGCCTATACCAGGAGCCCGCTAGTGAATTCTGACTCATGACGTCCCAATGTATGTTAGTGTAGAACTGTGCTCCATAGGGTTTTCAACTGCTGACTTTTTGGAAGTAGATCTCCAGGCCTTTCTTCTGAGGTGCCTCTGGGTGGGCTGGAACCACCAACCTTTGGGTTAGCAGCTGAGTGAGATAACAGCTTGTGCCACCCAGAGATTCTTGCCTGATCTAAACAAAAAAAAAAAAAAAAAAAATTAAACCCGTTGCTCTCAGTTGGTTCTGACACATAGTGACCCTATAGGACAAAGGTGAACTGTCCCATAGGGTTTCCAAGGCTGTAATCTTTACAGAAGCAATTGCCACATCTTTTTCTGGTTTCGAACAACCCACTTTTAGGTTAGTAGCTGATCTCTTTAAGCACTTAGCCACCAGGGATCCTGGCCTATAAACAACAACAAAAAAACCAAACCCGTTGCAGTCAAGTCGATTCCGACTCATAGTGACCCTATATAAAACGCTCAAAGGTTAGTTCTTAGGAGAATCAGCATAGCGTGGTGACCATAAGCATTTTGAAGTCAGGCAGTCCTAAATTTGGGTCTGAGATTTGAGTCAGCGGCTCTGACTTTGAGCCTCTCGGAGCCTCAGTCAGCCCATCTGTAAAATGGGATTAATCATACCACCATCGTCCTTTGAGATAGCACAGGCTGGGGACACTGAATTGGGAGTTGCAGGATGCAGACAGCGCTAACCTGCTCGTGTCCCCCACAGATGCCGGTGCTGAAGCAGCTCGGCCCTACGCAGCCCAAGAAGCGACCGGAGCGCGGCGCCCTGTCCATCTCCGCGCCGCTTGGCGACTTCCGGCACACGCTGCACGTGGGGCGCGGCGGCGACGCCTTCGGGGACACCTCGTTCCTGAACCGCCACTGCAGCGGGCCGCCTCCCGAACCCCGGGCACCGCCCATGGGGGCTCCGCGCTGCACGCCGCCGCCCGCGGTCCCACAGCCCCCGGCGCCCGCGCTCCTCGAACCCGCCGACCCGCTGCTGTCCTTCCACCTGGATCTGGGCCCCTCCATGCTGGACGCGGTGCTGGGTGTCATGGACGCTGGGCACCCGGGGCCGGCGGCCGCCAAGCCCGGCCTGGACCCCGGCTCCGAGACCCAGCACCCCCGGGCCCACTGCCGCCCCAGCGCGGACCTCGAGCTGGACGACGTCATCGGCCTGTAGCCCCCGGGCCCAGTGTTCTTCCCGAGCTGCACCCCACATCTTTATACATAAACGGCCACGGTCTCGGTTCCAGGCTCTGTCTACTCACTTTGCAATGAGAAGGGGTGATGGAGCCCCGGAGGAGGGATAATGGGGCCCAGCAGGAGGGGTGATGGGTTCCCGGAGGAGGGGAGATGGGAAATGGGGGAGGGGTGATGAGAGACGGGGAAGGGGTAATGGATTCCTAGAGGAGGGGTGATGGGAGACTAGGTAGTGGTGAGGGGGCCCCGGGAAGGGGTGTGGGAGATGGAGGAGGGGTGATGGGGTCCTAGAGCCTTTAAGAACCTTGGCAGGGACGGAGCCAAGTGTGTTACCCGGAGTTCTGGTCGCCACGGGGGCTGGACCAGCCAGGTCCAGGTCAGAGACCCTCCCTGGTGGGCTGAAGTGAGGCCCCTTTGAGAGAGGCCGGGGACGTGGCCAGGCAGGCCCCGGGGCGGGGTCATGACGTAGCCGCTCCAACAGCCTAGTTCATTCATCAAATATTTACCGAGCTCCGCTGCCCGCCAGACGGGCGTTCCCGCCGGGAGACCCGGGGGTACGTGGCAGGCCTTGGCCCGCCCCGAGCATCTCAGGTGGATCCTGACCGGGTGGAGCCACCCTTTGCTCCGGGAGCGGCTGCAACAGGAAAAGGCGGGAACCCTTTTAGAGAGCTTCAGGGGTCAAGGTCCCGGGGGTAGGGCCTCTTGCCCGTAAGGTGTGTGGCAGAATACCGGCGGCAGCATCCCAAGTCTGAGTGTCATTCTGAGGCCGCAGAGTCGGGTTCGCCCGGGCGCCAGCGGAGGGCCTGCCAGGTTCTCCCAGGTCCTGGCGCGGGGGGTGGGGGTGGGCACACATGTAAACAATGCGCCCTGGGGGCGGGGCCAGGCTCCCTTGAACTTGCAGGGACCGCGACGGTCTCCAGGAGGCGGAGCTGGGTTTCCTAGACGCTGGGAATGGTTCTTAGAGGGGCGGATCCACGCTATTTCGGCCTGGACGGAGCCAGGTTCCCAAGAGCTTGTGGGGACCACGACGGTCTCCAGGGGCCGGAGCTTGGTTTCCAGGCAACGGCTGATGGCGCAGTCGGACAAGTGCTGGAGGAGCGAGGCCACACTTGTAAATCCCTTGGACCCTGAGGGGACCGGGTCAGGTTCCCCGAAGACGTCTGCGGTCCCAGGAGGGGTGGGTCAGAGTCCTTGCGCACGCTGGGAGGTGTTTCCCTGGGGCGTGGCTCCCAGGGGCAGGGCCGGGAGCTCCGCTCTTGACGCCATAGCAGGTCCCCGGACGCTGGTCAGACCTGACAGACCTGCTGAGCCGAACTCTATGGCGGCGGCCGCGGAGCGGGAGCCGTCCCCAGGGAACCCCGCGGCCGCGCCGGCCTGCCGCTTCTTCCTGGAGGGCCGCTGCCGCTTCGGCGCGCGCTGCCGCCAGCCGCACCCAGGGGCACCGGCGCCGGCACCCGTGCGGCCCAGCGATGCTGTCCCAGCCGAGGCCGGGACCAAGAAGCCACCGTTGCGTACGGCCGCCGCCGTCATCCAGCGCATCCGCTGGGACCCGCGCCTAGACCCGGCCGACTTCTCGGTGGGTTACGTCGACCGATTCCTGGGCGTGCGCGAGGAGCCCTTCACGGCCTTCTGCTGGGACGCGCCGCTAGCGGCGCTCGGACCCGGCGTCCTGGCCATACCGCAGCACCGCGTGCGTTACTTCCGCTTCCGCGGCCGGCTCATCTGGGACCGCGACTCGCGCACCGACCACGTCTTTGGCTCCGGCCAGGCCGCGGGCCGCGGGCCGACCATCCTGGAGGCGCTCAGTGGGGACCAGCCTGGCGGGGACGAGCTTGATGGGGACGCGCTCAGCGGGCACGCCCTCGACGGGGACGAGCCCGGGGCCCTGGACGCTGAGACGCAGGAGGCGGAGCCCGGAGGGCGTGGAGAGCCGGCCTTGGCAGAGCTTGGGGCAGCGGGGGCCCAGGGTATCGGAGGCCCAGATGCCGGGAGCCTAGTGCTGGCAGAGTCGGGTCTGGAGGAGGCATCTGCGACGACCCAAGAGCGAGGGAAGGCCAAAACAACGCTGGGCGGAGCCGACAGCCAGGACTCACTTTGGAGAGCGACTGAGGCCGACGACGAAGCCGCCCCAGAGTCAGGCTCTGGGAAAGACACCACAGGGCGCCTCGCTGTCAGAGCGAAGGAAAGGGAACCGACACTAACAGGAGCAGCCAGGACCATGGCGCTGACGGACGGGGAAGCGCAGGCCTCGGCAGCCCCAGAGCTGTCTCTGGGAGCTGACGTCCTCCATGTGAGGAAAGGGAAGCCCACTGGGGAGAGAGAGGTACAGTGGGGTCTTGGGGCCTGGCATACGGAGGACGACAGGAGGGTCATGACCAGGACTGTGGGCCCTCACCAACCCCGCCCCACCCATTTCGTGGCCCTCATGGTAACAGAACCCGGGCTGCTAGCAGAGGTGGCCCAGGCCCAGGCGCACCTGGCAGAAGTGGCTCCATCCTGCGCTGCTTTCATGGTGCCCTCACAGGCCCTGCACCTGACGTTGGCCCTGCTGCGCCTAGGAGGCCCCGGGGAGGAGGCAGCAGCCGCCCGAGCTCTGAGCGAGGCCCTCTCCCACCCAGGGCTCCAAGCACCCCCCGAGCTGAGGTTCAGGGACCTCGTGCTCCTTGGCCACCATGTGCTTTGTGCCCCACCTTCCCCCTCATTGGACAGTATGGCCCAGGTGCTGAGCCAGAGGCTGGCGGCCCAGGGGCTGCGAGTGCTACATCCCCCAGAGGGGCTGCACCCCCACCTCACACTGGCCAAGGTGCCCCATGGCTCCACCGTCCACCTCCCAAAGCCAGGGTTCAGCCTTAGGCAGGAGCTAGGGAGCCAGCCAGTGGGGAGACTCTGGCTGTGCTGCATGGGGAGGGCAGGGGATACCTACCAGGCCCTGGCAGAGGTCCCCCTGAGGTGACATTCCCAGACCCACTGCAAGGGCGAGGCATTGGATCTCAGCCCCAAAAGCAACCAGGGACCAATATCCAAACCACCAAAGGATGGATATGCTCCAAGCAGGAACAACACAGCTCTCTCTCTCCTTTTTAATTCTGGTTTCTCTCAAGCTTCCAAATGGTGCTCAGTGCTCCAAGGAAAGAATGGAGGAAGGAAAGGGGAGGGGAGAGGTGGGAAGGGGAAAGCAGAAGAGGAAGAACATCTGGAAAAAAAGCAGCCTGACAGTCCAGCTGTTTGCAAACTCCTTGCACATCATCCAGTTACATGGCAGAAGAGGGAGGGAGGGGCCGAAAGAAAAGGGGGAGGAAAAAGAAAAATAACTTAAATAAACACACACAAAAAGAAAAGAGAAGGGAAAATGACGTGAGCTGGTGATCCATGGAGGCGGGAAGGGGAGGGTAAGGGGTAACCGCTTTACCTGTACTGAACCAAGGGAAGGAAGGGGGAGAAGGAAGAGGAGGGAGGGAAAGGAGTAAAAAAAAACCAGAAGAAACATTGGGGGCAGAGGGAGGAGGGGAACACGAAGACAACTTAATACAACTTGAGACGAGGCAAGCCCGGCCGGCGAGGTCCCGCGGTGGCCTCCGGAGTTCCTCAGTGCAGTGTGGCAGCAGTGGGGTCTGTTGGTGGCAGTGGCGGTGGCATTTCTGGGGAGGGGGCCAAGGGCACAGTCTCTACACGGCTCCCCTCGCCCCAAACACTGAGGCCCCAAAGGGCTGGACAACGAGAGTCTGTGATGAGGCTGACGAGGCGGCAAGTGGGTTTGCGGAGTGCCCCACCGCCAGCAGGCGGGCACAGCTGGACGGCCTGTCTTCCTTCCGCTGGCCCCCCTGGCATGGGAAAGGCCAGGTCGCGTACCGGAGTACAAGCTCGAAAGAGAGAGAGAAAAAACACTGAGACAGCATTAGTGGAGGTGAAAGGTGGACACGGATGACCCCACAGACCACACCCCCAGACACCCTGCTGCCCCAACCCTATCCTCCCCCCACCCCATCCCTCTGAGGCAAAAATAAAAATGTAGAAAAAAAATCTCTGTACAGGCTCCCCGGTGGGAAAACGGGGGCGGGGATGGCAGCTCTGCCTGGAGCCTACTCCCCACCAATTAATTTACAACCCAAGTCCATGGCTCAAAAACAAAATCCGCAGAGGCGGTGCTGGGGGGCCACAGCCCCTGCCCCCCACCCCCATCCTCGCTGTGTGCTCAGAAGGCTGACAGCTGCGCCAGGCTGAGGCGGCAGTCGATGCTGGCGTTGTCCGGGCCCGTGTAGGCCAGGCCCAGGGACTCTAGGAAGGCCCGGCAGGCGGCCTCGCCCTCGAAGGCCAGCTCGGCCTGCAGGTAGGAGACGGGCAGCACAGGGCGGAAGCTATGGAGACAAGAGGAGAGAGTGATGAGGCGGACAGCGGGTAGGGGAGGGTCCCACGGCAGGGAATGGATGCCCCGTTCAGGTACCCTAAGGGGCCTCCTCGGCACGTAACTTGCGAACTCCCCCCACCCCAGGCAGGCCTCCCACCTCAGGGGCTTGGGGGGGCCCGGGGTGGGGCTAGCGGCCCCAATCCCCAGTTGTGCCCCCCCTCACCCCCACTTACCTGTGCAGGGGGACCAGGAAGGAGGGGACAGGAGGGGAGAACCCAGCTGGCTCCTCTGATGGCCTGAGGAGCCTCTCAAAAGAGGGCAGCTCTGGCTGAGGGGCAGGGCCAGACTGAGGGAGCCACAGCCAGGCTCGGGAATATATAGCTGAGAACACTACCCTGGGGGGCCCCCAGCCCTCTCACTGCCTTCAGGGAAGCCCCAAGCACAAGTCAGGAGTACACCTTACTTCTAGCAATAGTGTTTGGTTGCTAATAGCGCTTTCAATATGCTACAAACAGGCAGCTCTGAGTTCTCTCACAGAAGTCACTGGGTCCTCCCCTACAGGTAAGTCACCCTGCCCATTTTAAAGGTAAAGCCACCCAGCCAGGGTCCTCTAGGGAGGCAGTGGCAGCCCCTGTCCCAGCCTTGGATGTCCTAGGAATGGGAACCAGGGCATGCTGCAGAAGGGCAGGAGGCCTGGCCTGCACTACTGAGCGGCCTGAGGGATTGGGAGGGCAGGTCTGCCCAGGGCAAAGGTAGGCCAGGCCCCGCCCACAGGGTCACTCCCAGCTGGGCTGCCCACAAAGGCCCATCACATAAACAACCATTAACCCAGCCAAACGCCCTGAAAAGGGCTACCAGAGGGGGAACTCTGAAAAAACCAGGGGACACTGGGACAGCCCTGGGCAGCTCCTACAGCACGTCTCCAGGCCGGATGGCTGGGAAGCCTGATGGCCTCTTCCTCCTCACTCTGCAGGGCCAGGAGTCACATGCCATGCCCACTGTGCCTCTGTGATCCGCCCCTCCTCTCTCTCTCCCAGGCTGTCTCTCTTGCCTGGCACAGCCTTTACCTTGACCCCACGCTAGATCCTAGAATGAGCTTCCTAGCCTTCAGGTGTGACTGCCCCTTCCTAGCTCAACACCATTCTATAGCTCCCTAGTACCTTCACAGGAAAGACCAAGCTGACTGGCCTGGCATTCAAGATCCCCTGGGCCTACCAACCTCAAGGTCTCTCAGCCTCGGCGTGACTGGCATTTGAGGCCAGACAATTCTCTGTAGTGGGACCATCCTGTAAACTGCAGGGAGCTAAGCAGCATCCCTGGCCTCTACCCAGTAGATGCCAATAAACCAAAAAACAAACCCCTCGCGATCGAGTCGATTCCAATTCATAGCAACCCTACAGGACGGGGAGAGCCGCCCCATCGAGTTTCCAAGACTATAAATCTTTACGGAAGCCAACTGCCACATCTTTCTCCCACAGAGGCGCTGGTGGTTTCCAACTGCCAACCTTTGAAGTTAGCAGCCGAGTGATGCTTTAACCACTGTGCCACCAGGACTCCTAGATGCCAGGAGCACCCTCCCAACTGAACAACCAAATCTGTTCCAGACATTGCCCAATGTTCCTGAGGACATATCTTCATCCCTGTGAGAACCGATGGTCTGAGTCCGGCACCTCTGCCCTGACACACTGTGGGCCACACTCAACTGCCTGGCCTTGCAGATGACCTCGAAGCCCTCTCCCCATATCCAGTCTGACCCGCCCCCACCATCACATCCGTTTTTCTCTAACCATGTTTGGCATGTCAAAGGGGCTGATGTGGGAAGTGAGAGCTTGTCTCATTAGATCAGAGCCACCAAGAGCAGGCACCATCTTTCTGATGTTGTCTCTATGGCATGAGGAACAGTAACAAAGAAGCAGTCTAAAGTGGATGGCACTCAGAGGGAGACAAGAGCCCAAAAAAAGAAACAGCGAACTAGGGTCAAGGCTGACATGAGCAGGAGGACAAAAGGAGCACAGATGAGGGTGGAGAAGGGAACCCAAGACCAGTGAGAAGACAGAATGGAGGGGAAGGCAGGTGGACAGACAGAGGAGAGTCAGAACACAGAGGGTGGACTGGAGAGAAAGCATGAGGGCGTGGAGTGAGAAGGGGCCAAGTGTTGAGAGCGGAAATGAAGAAATGAAGGAGGGCAAGAGAATAAGAGGAGCCCAGACGCCTGGGACTGAGAGAAGGGAGGGCGGCAGGGCCAGAAGAACGAGGAGGAGCAGTGAGTGCATTTGGCGTCACATACGTTTTGATCATTGCCTTGAGGGCCGCCTTGCGCTCCCGGTCTGCAAACTTGTCCACGAGATAGCCGGACATACAGGGCGCGTGGCAGTAGAGCCGGAAGAAGCGGTGGTAGTTGCCCAGAGCCCAGGCTGCCCTCAGCGCCAAGGCATGGGCCACACAAGGGTCTGCCTTCAGCTCCCGCGTCAGGTATGCCAGCTCAGTGGTGATGTCTGGGAGCCCAAGAGGAAGGAGGTGAGAAGGGCTGCAGCCTGGGGGCGGCAGTGCCTGTAAACCTGGCAGGCGGCCTCTCACCTCCTGAGTTCTTGGTGAAGATGTAGTAGAGGATCCGGTAGGCGGTGAACTCGCCCACATTGCCCGGCAGGTTCTCAGCATAGAGCGACTTGAGCTGTGTCTGGCATTGGTTGAACTCTTCATGGTCCCCCTGGAGACCAGGGACAGGGAAAGAGAGAGTAGAGTGAGGCCATGGAGGGCAGAGAGTCACAGCGGCATCAGGAAGGAGCTGGGGAGGGGCCAGGAAGGTTCCCGTCAGTCCTCTCACCTTCTCCAGGGCGATGCGGGCATGTGTCTCATATACCTCCACGGTGAACTCTGTGCGGATGCCCTGGACCTGGGTTGAAAACAGAGGAGTCAGGCCAGAGTAAGGGTAGGGCCAAATGGAGGGGCGGTGGGACCACAGCCCAGGCCAGAGGGCCCTCCCAGCACCACCTCACCGTCAGATCCTGCCGGATTGACTTCATCTGCTCACAGGCAAATGCGTAGTCCTGCTTCTCCTTCCAGTGCGACTTGACCATGGCCAGTGACTTCTTCAATACCTGGCCAGAGAGTCAGACCCCTGGCTCAGCATGTGACTTCGACAGAGCGAGCCAGGACATGGGGACACCTGTCATGTACCCACTGAGCTGGGGTTAAAACGAGGATGGCAACACAAGACCTACATGAGTGACTCACTAACAACATTAAAAACAGACAAACCAGTGGGAAAAGTAACTGCTCCGACACGAATACACAGTCATGTGAACATTCTAGAATGAAAGATGAACTACGTTCCAACCATGGGTGGCAGGCGAGGCCTTGGGCCTGCCCAGGAAGAGGCTTTGTTGTGTGTCATGAGTGAGATGAGACTCAGTGAGACCAAGTCACTCCCCAAACAAGGCCACCCTTCCTGGTCTGCAGGACCCCAACGTGACCCTACAGGACAGGTCTCCCTTCACGTGTTCTTGCTACGCTCCCTTGTCACCTCCCAGTGGGTACCCAGCACAGGCCCAGCGAGGCCCTGCTGCCCTCTCAGGGCACTTACAGAGACGGGGCGCACAGTGGAGGGGTCGGGGGCACAGGTGAGACGCAGGTAGTGCTTGGTGATGTCGGGGCAGGTGCCCACAATCTGCAGCTCCTGCCAGTCAGGGTCAGCCCCGCCACCCTCCAGACTGCCCATCTGTAGCACCAGAGGCTCCAGGCGCAGGCGGCGTGCGTGACTGTGCTGGAAGCGGGCTGCCCGTTTCTGTTTCTTCAACTCGCGCTCGGGGTCCTCACACTCCAGAGCCGCCATCTTCTTGCGGCTGCGTTTGGTGGGAGCAAGGTCGTGCCTGGTACAGGGCAAGGGAGCAGTGAGCGGCCCAGGTTTCCATCTCCCCTCCAGCCTTGGCACCTTGGGAAGTCAGCTGTCTATCCCTCGAGCCACTCCTTGAGGACACAGCCTGTCTCCCTGGAGCCAGGAGACCCTCCTCCCACAGGCCCCCAGGCCCCCGGTACCTCTACTCCCCAGGGTCTTGGGCTTCCAGCCCTCTCCTCTCTCATAACCACAGCCCCTCCTCCCCAGGAGTCCACACCCCAAGTCTCACCTCTTCCCACGCTGTGCCCTGCCTCGGCCCCGATCCATGTGGGCCCCTCGACCCCCACGGCCCTTGGGGGGCGGGTTCCTGCGGCCCACAGGGTGACACTCATTCCCTGAGTAGGAACTATCAGAGTCCGAGTGGGAGTCACTGTGCGGAAGAGGGAGAAGGTTAGGCCTGAACTGGTTCCCCTCTCTCTGCCCCAGGCCCTCCCTCCAACCAGACCTCATACCTCCGGCGGAAATGGCGGGTGGGGGACCGGGAGGAGGAGCGGGAGCGGGAGTCCGTGCTGGAGGAAGAGCTGTTGTCCTTCATGAAGACGTTGCGGTTGCCAAACTTGGTGAAGCTGCTGCCCCGGGCTCGGCCAGCACCCCCAGCCCCTGGCGTCCCACGCTGGGATGGCGCATTTCCGCCCCTGGTCGTGGAGCCTGCCCCCCGGGGAGGGTGAAGACCACTAGGGGCCTCCCACCGCTTCTTCTTGGGGCTCTCCGCCACAGGCTCCTGGGTCAGCCTGGACAGCAGGGATGAGTGTCACCAACCCCACTCCCACCCTCGTAGGATCCCATGCCCACCCACCCACATCTGCCAGCCCACCCGGGGACAGGCTCAAGAGAGGAAGGCACTCACCCCAGGCGGCTCAGCTCATATGCTGCAAAAATGAGTGCTGTTTCCAGAGAGTGCTCTCAACCACTGAGCAATACACACCTCCCAGCACCACAGCATCACCTGTCCTAAGACTCCAACCCTTGGCACCGCCTGGCCTCTGTCGCCCTCTTGACCTCCCTCCAACCCATGACATCATCTCCTGGGACCTGATTTTCTGGCCTGTTCCTCTTCAGACCCCAGGTCCCTAAGAGCCAAAGTTTCCAACTTCAATGCCCAAGCAGTACCTACCCAGTCCCACCAGCCACCCCAACAAGCCCCCAGGCACCACCCCAGCCCTGACGCACCCTGGCAGCGGCTCGCGGCTCCAGTCGATGGTGTAGGCCGAGCCGTCCTGGAGCCGGGCCTGCAGCACCTCCTTCAGCAGCTTCTCCGTGCGGTCCTTGTCCTCCTCTGATTCGCAGGCAGTGAAGCAGCGCTCCACATACTCCTTCATGTCCTGAGGCCAGTCATCGGGCTTCCCCGACAAGTTCCCCCGGGACGAGGGCCCACTGTGGAGAGGGCAGATGAGGGACTCAGTGGTGAGCACCCAAACCAAGCCAGGGATGCCTTTGCTCCCAGCCATTGAGCTGACACCATGTACCCGGTGAAACTAGAGCATTTTTCTCTCTCTGCCTCGTGTAGTGCTCGCAAGAGCCAAGGGGCCGCTCCCCCACTTCAGAGGAGCAAATCATGGCTCGGGTGGGGGGTTGCACAGCATTCAGCTGGGGAACAAGGGCAGGGCTGGGGGATGTCACCTGTGGTTCTGGGCTTTCTCGGTGTTGGGCTGGGGGCCAAAGCTGCCGTGCTGCCCTTCCGAGCTGGAGCTGAAGTTCGGGTTGGTGACAGCAAAAGGCCGTTTCTGAATGTTGAACTTGAGACCACCAGTCCCAGGAGCCGCTGTGAGGGCAGCAACAAGCTGGGGTTAGGCCCTTTCCTGGCACACCTGGGGCTCCCCTGCCCCCAGAGAATGCCAGAAGGAAAGCTTCAGCGGTAGGGATGAGCAGGAGTTCTGGGATGGGAGAGGCCAAGCTCCAGTAAAGGGCCCCAGCTCCAAGCACTCCTAGTCCCTGACTGGCCTCCCCTGAATCCCTGGGATGATCAAAGAACAAAGAGTCCGCCCCAGAGCACCTCCGGGCTCAACACTGCGTGTGCCTGTGAGTTCTGAGCACCCCACCCCGGCCAGCCCCAACTCACGCTTCATGCGGCTCCACAGCTGCTGCCCCTTCTTGGGCTTGGCCGGCTCTGAGTAGCTGTGCTGCCCATAGGCCTGGCCTGAGGGTGCCCCCGCCTGGCCATGCTGTGTGGCTGGCACCGTCCCTGGCTGGGGGCCGCTGCTCAGAGGATGGGCCCCATGCTGGGGGTTTGAGGGCTGAGGGGGTTGGGCTGGCAGCTGCTGAGGGGGTGCCTGGTAGGACATGCTCTCGTCCATGCCGGGGACTGGGGGCTGCGAGAGGAAGCCAGTGCTCAGGGTGGGAGCCAGCACACTGCGTGCCAGCTCTCACAGCCCTGTCCACACCACCACACCCTTCACTCCACTCTCTAGACCCTGCACCCCGACCTTTGTGTCAAAGCACTCTCAAATAACTCCGAGATATGTCCTTTTATTAATAACCCCTTCTTCAGAGCTGAGAAGACTCAGGTTCAGAGAAACTGAGCAACTTTCCCATGGCCCCAGCTGCTGAGTGGCAGCTGCCAGCACTGGAGTCTCAGTCTGACCTTCCCAATAACAGCTCCCACTGACAATACACTCCTTTTGGCAGTGACAGTGTGAGCATGGAGTACATGCAAGAAAGGTACCCACACGATTACAAATACAATAGTGCAAACACCCTGCAACAAAGTTATTACTCCTTCTGTTTTAGAGCTGAGACTCACAGAAATCACATGACTTGTATGTAAAGACACCACCAAGAAGCAGGGGAGCTGGGGTTCCAACCCAGGTCTATACATAGCTGCACTTTAAATACAAGGCCAGACTGTGTGTGAGAGTATGTGTGTGCACAAGAGTGCACGTGTGTGCATGGGGGGAAGGGTAGAGAAAACAGGCTGCGACAGGACAAATCATTCCCAGCGTCTCCACATCACCTCAGCCCCTGGCCTTGCCCAAGTCCTAAACCCACACTGGTTTCAAAAACTATGCTCTGCCATCCTCATTATCAGATGAGAGACTGTTTGGCAGGAGGAGAAAAAAATTACTTAAACAGTACAAGCAAGCCGATTGTGGGCCCACTAAAAAAACACCACCACCCAGCCTGAGCACAAAACAGCGGTGGGCCACATCATTACCTGGTTCAGAGTCCCCTGGTGCTGGGGTGCTGATGGCTGCTGCGGCGTGGCTGAGCCATAGGAGGTGGGAATCCCATACTGGGAGGGGGAGGTGTAGCCCTGGTACATGCTCTGCCAAAGGCACAGAGGAGGGTTAGTCCACAGTTGCTGCTCTGTGGTCTAGACCTTCCCAACTTCTCCTACCTGCTCAGGAACTGCACACAACCCCTGGTCCTCACTTCTCCCTCCTTGTTATCATATAAACACACCAGACTCTCTCACATATTTAAAAAAACAAAAAAGAAAAAAAGAAAAAAACGCAACTTCATCAATCTCCTATTCCACTCCAGCTAGTTCTCAGAAAAATTTCTCTATTCAACAAATGTTTACTGAGGACCAACTCTTCTAAACATGAAGACAAAACAAAACATAAAAGGTGTTTGCATTCAAAACACATACATTGCTGTAGATACAAAGACGTGACATGCCTAGCAATATTAAATACTATAAAAAAAAATGAGGCAAGGTTCAGGGACAGAGGGACCGGGTAGGGGGTGGGAAAGCTCCTTTAAGTCAGTCTGTCTGGGCAGAGTGCCCTGAGGAGATGATGCTGAGCAGATGCCTCTCCAAGGCAAAGAGGTGAGAAGGAAGCAAGCCCTGGGGGTGCACAAAAGGAGAGCTGCAGCAGTAAGTAAGGTGTGGACGGGCTTGGTGAGTGCTGAGATCAAGGAGGTCTCTGTGGCGATGGCAGAGTGAGCACGGGGAGAGGCGAGGTGGCCAGGAGCCGGATCGCATAGGACTCTGCTGGCCATGGGAGGAACCCTGGAATGTATCTTTAGGGTGATAAGCTAGTGGAGGGTTTACGAGCAGTGGAGTTACAGAAAAGTTGATATGGCTATCTCCAATCAATCAACTACTCAACCTGTTAAGGCCAATCTGACCTCCATCACCATCCCGCCGGCCACCCGCTGGACTCAGCACTCACCATGGGGTAGTAATAGCTGTACGGGTAGGCATAATTGTACTGCTGGTACCACTGGTAGTACTGCTGCTGCTGCAAAGCAGAAGCTTCTGCCTGTGACACGTACTGTGGAGAAACAGAGGCCGGCATGCCGTCAGGGGTGGCAGCAGGAGTCCATGAACCCCCACAGTCCCTGAAAAGGCAGGCCTGTTGACTGGTAGTTAAATCGCCAGAGTGAAAGATTCCCCAGAATCTGGGTCCACGATGCTCCACAGAGCCAAGGTCTCCCCCACCAGGCTCAGGGTGCCATCAAGGACAGAGCCTGTCTACCCCATCAGGCTGGATGTCCAGGGATAAGGATCACATTGTGCTCTGGAGTCCTCAGGGACACACACATTGTTTCCCCAACAGACTCCTAGAATATTCAGGCTCCTAGACTATCTTTCTATGTTCCCCTCAGAGGACCCTGACTTGTGACACACGAGCACATCTAGTTGTGTTCCTCCCCCAACTCAGGGTATCCTGGCCCAGGGGCCTCCTCACCTGTGCATTGGCCACAGCCCCGTTGCTGCTGGTCTTGGTCGAGCTGCCAGCAGCGCCCGCTTTGCTGATGCTGGCCAGGGCCTGGCGGGCCTTCTCCCACTCAGGGTTCTCGTGCATGGGGGCCTCCATGCCATTCTCTCTGCCTGCCCCAGCCACCATGCTATACTGAGAAGACCTACAGAGAGAAGAGATGCCGAGTCAGCCTGCTCTCCTCACTGCACACAGTTGGGCAAGACAGCAGGAGGCAGAGTGCAGGGCTTGATCCCAGATCTCTCTCTCACTGTCTGCCTTAGGGCAAGCTGCTTCCCCTTGCTGAGCCCAAGTCTTCTGATCTATAATATGCCAACACCCAGTTTCTACTCCACAGAGTATTCTCTGGCACACAGATGAGATCACTTCCATTAAGGTACCTATCCCGGTGCCTGGCACAAAGCAACTGTTAAAATCAAACCAAAAAAAAAAAAAAATTACTAGTAGCCACAGAACTTAACACAGGAACTGGTACCTAATTTAAAAAAAAAAAAAAGTTGCTGTTGACTCCGACTCATGGTGACCCCATGTGTGTCAGAGTGTAACTGTGCTCCATAGGGTTTTTAATGGCTGATTTTTCAGAAGTGGATCACCAGGCCTTTCTTCAAGGCACTTCTGGCACCTAATAAGTCTTTCTAAGTGTTTTATAACTAAACGAATTCTGTCTGACACCACTCCAATCTCTAGAATATCACACTATTTTGGGGAAAGTAAGGAATTAGCAGAAAGATAAGTGGCTGAGCACAGAGTGTTGGAGGCTGCCACCTAATTATGGTTCCTTCAAGTAAATCATCCCAGTTCTGTGAGACAAGCAATGTACTGTGACAAAGTGAAGCTCGGAGAGGTCAACACGTACCCCTCTCCACACTCCAAGCAAGTGCTTCCCTTTGTCTTCTGGCCAGATGAGGGAGTCACCTTTCCCTGCTCCCCCACTATTTATGAGCCCCCTTCACCAAAGGACATCACTGGGTCCTACTACCTCTTTCCCTCCCCGCCAGTTCCACTAACCAATCTGTGCTACGTTGATCACCCACGTTGGCCGCCATCTGGACCTTGGGGTACGAGGGGTGGACCTCGGGAGCCAGACTGCTTTTTCACTGTCTGTGAGAGAAAGAGTGAGTCAGGAAGACTCAAGAAGAGGCAAGCAACATGTGTTAGAGTGGGGAAGAGAAAATCAGACAAACCCATGAGAAGTCACGCAGAAAAGGGGAGAGTTTAAGAAAACAGCCACTGAGATAAATAAAGACTTGAAAAAAATTCTGAATGTGGAATAAAAGAGCTGGAGCGTGAGGGGAAGCCCTTGGGCTCCCTATAGTGCTCTAGGTGAAAAATGAAAGATTTGAAAAGGGGATTGCCCAAAGGCAAAGAGAAGGATCTGAAGCCCATATGAAGAAAAGAAAGAGCCTGAGGGAAACCCTGAGTGAGAAGACACGGAGAGAATCTGGAGGGAGGAGTGGGTAAATCTCACTCAAGGGAAAAAAAAAAAAACCTCCAAACTCGTTGCCATTGAGTCGATTCCGACTCATAGCAACGTTATAAGACGGAGTAGAACTTCCCCATAAGGTTTCCAAGGAAGCAGGGCCTTGGTGGCACAGCGGTTAAGAGCTACCGCTGCTAACCAAAAGGTCAGCAGTTTGAATCCACTAGCCGCTCCTTGGAAATCCTATGAGGCAGTTCTACTCTGTCCCGTAGGGTTGCTATGACTCAGAACCGACTTGCAAGCAATGCATTTGTTTTTTTTTTAATCTTGTAAGCGAGGATGGTGAGACTTCATCTCACGTACTCTGGACATGTTATCAGGAGGGACCGGTCCCTGGAGAAGGACATCATGCTTGGTAAAGTACAGAGTCAGCGAAAGAGAGGAAGACCCTCATGACAGAATGACATAGTGGCTGCAACAACGGGTTTAAGCATAGCAAGGATTGTGAGGATGGCACAGGACTAGGCAGATTCGTTCTGTTGTACATAGGGTTGCTATGAGTTGGAACTGACTCAATGGCACCTAACAACACGAACAATCTTCATGGTAGCAGACTACCACATCTTTCTCCCGCAGAGCAGGTGGTTAGGTTCAAACCACTGACCTTTTCATTAGGATAGTCAAGAGATAAGGAGTCTAAAATAAATTCCAGAGAGAGAGAGATGCTCTGAGAAGATGCAGAACAAGCAGGACTCTCTAAGGAGCAAAGTCTGAGTATAAATCCTTAAGGCTGGGAAGCTTGGAAAGGTTTCTGGGGAGAACTTTGTACTCTGGGAAGTCTTTCAGGAAGTCTTGAGAGAGGAGAGCAGGTGCTGGGACAGGGAGAACATTGGGGCACGGAAGAAAAATTTGAGAGGAAAAGAGGATTTCTAGTTACCTCTAGAGGCAGGGAAAAGTGAGGGTGCCTGAGGGGAACCCCCACATTAAGAAATGAGTTCTTAGAAAGGCTGATTCCAAAAAGGCTCCCTAAAGGCAGAGAAAAAACCTATAGGGGAGGTTCCTAGAGGCAGGAGTGGGCCTAAGAGAGACAATCCCCTTGGTAGGGGGGTTCTGTGGATAAAGCTTTGGGGATGCCTAAGGATCGCTATGAGTCATACTCGACTTCACCACAACAGTTTTTTTTTTTTTTTTTAAGAGGTCCAAACAGGAGTCCTCGGGTGGTACAAAAGGAGCCTTGGTAGCACAGTGGTTAAGCACTCAGCTGCTAACTGAAACGCTGGCTGTTTGAACTTACCAGGGCACTCAGCATGAGAAAGATGTGGCTGTCTGCTTCCATAAAGAAGCATTTACAGCCTTGGAAACACTATGGGGTAGTCCTACTCTGAAAGGGTCGCTATGAGTCGAAATCGACTTGATGGCAATGGGTTTTGGTTTGGGTGGCAGAAAGGGTTAAGTGCTTGGCTATTATGGCTGTTCAGACCCACCCAGAAGCGACTCGAAAGAAAAGCCTGGCGATCTATTTCTGAAAGGTAACATCCTTGAAAATCCTATGGAGCAGTTCTGCTCCGCACACAGAGGCTTGCCATGAGTCGGAATCAACTCCACGACAACTAACAACGACAAAACAAGAGGCCCAAAACAGCTTTAGGAAATTACAGTGCTGGGGGCAAAAGACTAACAGAAAGTGAACGGGTGTTTTGAGGGCAAGAGTTGAGAGATGTAACGTACCTAGGGGTGAGCTCAAAGAAGAGTCCCTTTGAGTACCCGAATGCCCTACAAAAACGCGAAAGGAACAGGAGTCTGGGGAAAGCCCTGGAGAAGAAAAGGTCTAAACGAGGAAACACATCTGGATGGAGAAAGGGGGCCGTGAGTGGCGATCGTTGGCGGGTGTAGGAACCCTGGGGCAGAAAACAGACTGGGGATAAAAATCCGGAGGGGCTTGGAATGAGGTTCCCGGGGAGTCGAGGAGCACCTGGCTGTCCCGCAAGCCCGGGGAGGGCGAAGGAGGATGCCGGGTGGAGGAAGAGACCGACCGGAGCCCCGTGACTGGCCCCGGAGCCACCACCCCGGCCGCGCTGCGCCTGCGCACCACGTCCCCGGATAAGAAGCCAGCGTGCAGGCCGCCCGTCGCACGGAGCAACGCCGCCCTCCCAGTGGAACCGCCAGGTCAATGGCGGGTGGGGGGTAGTTCCGGGCCCAAGGAATTCCAAGAGAGTGAGGGTGGGGCGCGGAGCCGACGCGCACGCGCGCGAGAACCCGACTGCGCCCCGCTCCCCCCGCCCCCGTTTCCGGCGCACATGCGTAGTGGCTAACACAGGGCCGCCACACCCCGGCGACGCTCATGCGCAGGGTCCGTTGGTACGATGGCCGAGAAGGCCTCGGGGCTCGCGAGGCGTAAAACCGAAAAGAGATGCCCTCCCCTGCCGCCCGCCCGCCCGCCGTTCCCCCTACCGGCCTCAGCCGTTCCTTCTCGGGACTCGCCAGCAGTGGCCCGAGGCGACGTCAACACGGCTGCGGAACTCTCAGCAACCCAGCCGGCTCTCGTCTTCCTTTGGTTCCGACGTCCCGACCGCGGCGTCCTGACGTCATGAGGAACCCTCGCCCCGCCTTCTTCGCCTCTTCGCAGCCAATAGGCGCTGCGAGTGTGAATTGAGCCCGCCCCCCCACCTCCGCTTACGCAAATCCTGCGTTGAGTGTTTTAAGGCAAACAGGTAGAAAGGGCGGAGACGGTGTCCCCGAGGGGAAATGCGGCTTCCTTCGTTGGAAATTGTCTGTCTCTTTGCCGTTTTGCACACCCTATGGGCTTAGCCAGTGCTAGCATTTATTATTCCTAGTTGTGAGCTGGTGTCATAAGAGGTGTAAGAATATGCACAGTACAGTAATGTGGAATCCCAGGGGAGGGAATGATTAACTCAGAGAAAGGGGATTAGGAATCGCCTCCATCCGGATGAAGGCGCATTCTTCGTAAATAAAACTGGGATGGCGCACCTGGCGGAGGATCGGCGTATTCAAACATAAAAAGGCGGGAAACCAGGGTGGTTTTGAGGTGGGAGGAGGTAGTTGAATGTGGCTACAGAGTAGAAGGGTGTGGGGTCCTGGAGTGAAGAGAGAGGTCTGTAGAGTGGACAGGTGCCAGACACGGAAAGAATCTGAGGGACTCGGGCTGAAGAACTTGGACCTGATCCTGTGGGTGATGGGGAGCCATATGCCTGAAGCGTCTCCAAGCCTGTCCTAAGTCCCTCTGCCTCAACCCTCCACTTCCTGTTATTTACTATTGCTGAACCACTTGTCGGCATTTTTAGTATCCTATTATTGATTGTGGAAACCCTGGTGGCGTAATGGTTAAGAGCTACGGCTGCTAAACAAAAGCTCGGCAATTCAAATCCACCAGGCGCGCCTTGGAAACCCTATGGGGCAGTTCTACTCTGTCCTATAGGGTCACTATGTGTCGGAATCGACTCCACGGCAACTGGTGGTTATTTTTTATTAGAATTTTTAATTACGTTTTTGAGCCGGAATTCTTAAACTCCTATGTCTAGTGTTCTTATCTATAAAAATGGGCGTAACAATAATACTTAACCTCATAGGATTTTGTGAAGATAAAATGAACATAATCACTACCTATAATCACTGTATAAGTAATAGCTATTTATCATTTTTGTTGTTTAACATAATCGACTTGTTTTTTTCCTTTAGCAGCTCATGGACATCCTCTCAGGTCCACAAATAGAGATTTAGTTCATTCTTTTTGATGGCCGAATAATACTGCATAGTATGGATTCATTCATGTATTCATTTAATATGTATTGAATGTCCACTATGGTTGCTTCTGAGGCCCAACCTCCAGGGCCTCATGCTTCTGAGTTGTGAGAGGAGGAACTAGCAAAATGCCAAATGACAGGGGACAGGACCAGTAACCACCGCCTATCCCATCCCACCACCCACTGCCTCATTTTCTTCAGAACTTAAAGATACCTCCTCCAAGGACACCCAGCACGGACCTGAGATCAGAACATTCAACCAGGAAGGAGGAGACCAGGAGAATCCCCTGATGGAGAATTAATTATCTCATCCTACCCACTCCACCTTACCAAACCCTTGCCGTCTACCTACCCACTCCACCTTACCAAACCCTTGCCGTCTAGCTGATTCCGATGCATAGTGACCCTATCGAACAGAGTAGAACTGCCCTATAGTTTCCTAGTAGCACAGTGGTAAAGAGCTCGGCTGCTAAGCAAAAGGTCGGCAGTTTGAATCCACCCAGCTCTCCTTGGAAACCCTATGGGAAGTTCTACTCTGTCCTATAGGGTCACTATGAGTTGGAATCACTCGAAGGCAATGGGTTTAATCTTTCCAGGAGCAGGTCACCTGGTCTTTTCTCCCGAAGAGCCACTAGTGGGTTCAAACTGCCGACCTTTCAGGTAGCAGCTGAACCACTTTAGGGCGTGTCATTTTATCTATTGTGCTGTGATGCTTTGTTGTTTATATTTTTTTATCTGCTCCTCCAGATCTGGTCTTTGCCATTCTGTGCCCTGCTGTATTTCCCAGAGGCTGACCTATGAACTAATTACATGATCACCCAGGCTTCTTTGCCCTTTGGCTTCCATTCGGGCTTTACCAGTCGAGGGATGGGAAGAGAGATATTATGATATGCGTTCCCCTGGCTCCCTGCTTCCAGGCTGCTATTTTGAAAGGAGATGCATCACTCTCCCTGTGACCTCAGCTCCTGTCTGGCAGCCCACTCAGAAGGCTTCAGCTTTCTCTGGGTTGTGGGATTCTGACAGCATGGCTCCCTTCCCCTGCCCTGTGAGCCTCAGTGTGGAAATGGCTTCATGCAGGGGCCAGTGCTTGGTGTTTCAGCTTCCTTGGTTGGTTCCCTTACCCCTGCCCTCATCTCTGTAAATAGTCCTTTCTTTAAACTCCTTGCAAGTAATCTTTTGAGTATGCCATCTGTTTCCGCTCAGGACTCTGACTGATAAAATTATCCTGTCCGGTTCAGGGATAGGTCACTGTAGGGAGAGTAGGTGGTTGTATAAATTTCCTAGGGCTGCTGTAACAAAGTGTCACAATCTGGATGGCTTATAAGAACAAAAATGTACTGTCTTGTACTTCTGGAGGCTAGGAGTCCAAAATCAGAGTGTTGGCCTTGTCCATTCCTTCTGAAGGAGAATCTGTGCCATGCCTCTCTCCTAGCTTCTCATGTCAGTTCTGGGTTGGTTTTGATTGACTGATTTTTAGCCGCATTATATGTCCTATTTTCCTGCTTCTTTGCATGTCTAGTAATCTTTTATTGGATGCCAGACATTGTGAATTTTACCTTGTTGGATGCTGGTTATTTTTGTATGCCTATAAATATTCTTTTAATTTTTTCCCATACAAAAATTTATACATACATTGTTATGTGACTCTGATTGTTCTCCCCATACTGTGACAGCACACTCCTCCTTTCCACCCCTGATTCCCTATGTCCATTCAAC